AAAAAAAACTAAGCAAATTTTGAATTCTCAAATATTAAATGAAAATAGAGATATTAGCCATTTGATAATGTCTTGAACAAAAGAGCTTAAAATTATTTGACATTGAAATAGGAATTTCAATCGCATGTTATCTCTTAACAATTTCAAGACCATAGAAAGTCAACTAGCATATGAATTGGATAAACTACGGAAAACTTGCTTCGAATACCGGCTACTCATGCATACCTCCTGTAACCTCTGTTTTCAACGACCCACCCTAAAATCAAATCCAGGAAAAAAGAAATGTAATCAGTTATGGAACTATGTGCGAAATGTGAAATTGAAGGAAAAAAAAAAGAGTCTCAGTTACTCAGACTGTGAAAACCGTTAAGGCCTTAAATTTAAAATAAAAAAAAAAAATAGACCCTCATAAAGAAAAAAAATGATGCACAGCAAACAAGGATGACAACTTATTCAAAAAAGAAATGAAAGATAAACTGAAAACACCGAATACAGCACATCTTGTGCTAATCTTAAAATCACATCATTTGAAGACAAATAAGAGAATCACAATTTAAAGAATATTCAAGAAATCAAAAGGTCAACGGTCTACATCGAATTTTCATTGGGATCAAAGAAATATGGATGCTATATACTCGGAGACGTGTTATTTCTAATCAAATGAAGTACGGAGATTAAGTTAGACTAGTGATTTCTTTGCTTATTTGTTTCTACGGATATGTAACTATATAAGAGTTCGATTTTATATTTCTCTTCCCTACGACAATCTTTCACTTCCAGTAAATGAAAAAAAAACAAAACAAATTCGATAAAGAATCGAAATAAGAAAGAGTACTGTTTTCACTAATAAAAACAAGCAAATAAGAGACGAAATAAAACCAAAAAGGTGGAATATAGTATTGCATTCTGTATGACCTGCAAGACCACTAGAAATGATTACTTTGCCTTTTACAGAAAAAAAAATTTCTCTTCAAGAGTTGCATCCCTGTATTGGAAAATTTGTTTCAGTTTTAAAAAAATGTTTTAGAAAAAAAATAAAATATGCTTCCAATTGAAATAATTCTCATTCGTATTGATAAATTTAATAAATACAAGTTATTTGAAAATTTCTACCCATTATTAACTGCCACATCTTCACTCATCCTATTGCATTCCTTTCAGCCAGAAAAAAATACGGAAAAAAAGTTATATTAAAGTTCCAAAATATAGCCGTAAATTTAAACAATGAAGCTGAATGAAATAACTCAAGAAAAGTAATCATGATATGTTTCCAAGAAGTCACGATAACAAAAATTATCAGTAGCAAAAAGACTAAGATCATCAATCCGCACAGCATGTTTGCACGGATCCAACAAAACATGTCATGACTCAATTACGTGATATGGTAATTATTTTGCAAAACAATAAGGCTCTCAATCAGACTACATTTATTTGGTAAATAAAGTCAAATAATCACTAAGTACAAGAAACAGAAAAAGAGTGGGGATGTTTAAACAAGCAATTCCAATATACCCTTCTGAACCACTTATGCGCATATGTTAAAATAGCCTTATTCAACAAAATATGAGGTTTCAAACCCTAACACCAGATTAATAATATACAAAAGGATATAGGCCAACTGAAAACCTCGTTTAACTTTACTTTCCTGGAGTATCCGTTTAACATTTCAACACCAATGAAATTTTACAACGTTTCAAAACTGCGTCCTTCACCAAGTGGAGCTGTCATGCTTGGAAGTTGAAATGCGGTTGCTTGTGGTGGATGACAAGGTGTCAATCCGGTTGGACCATCCAATAAATTGACACCACCGAAGTCGGATGCTGCTAAAAATAGAAGTTACAACGAGGTGACAGCTATTCGTATGTTAGAAAAGTATAAGATAAGTGAGGCACTATTTCCATGGGAAAATGATCACTTTCTAATCATTGGTCGTTCCTTTCACGAGTACCATCAGAAAGCAACATGAACAGCTCTCAGCTTAAGCTAAAAAACTAAAAAATCAATTACAACGTCTCATCTTTGACATCAAGCGAAAACTCCCGATTCCCGTGGTGAGATATCAAACAAAAATTACTGATTTCCGCGATAAAATACTTCAAATTTTCAAAACTTTCCTTCCCTTGCTAACCCATACAACTGTTTTGATTATTTTCAAAACGAATGATACAAATTTAGAAAAAAAATGGATGTTTTAGAGAAAAATCATGACAACCTCCACCAATTAAATTTGATGGCGTTGTGATGGGTACACCAGAACTACTCAACGAACTATAAGCTGTTGTTGTGGTAACACCGTCTGCAAATGTTAATGATGTTGGACGTTTGATCTCTTCATCTGGTAAATCACGTCCATTAACATCGAACAAAGTCGGCTCTTGTTTTATTTGCATAGAAGAAGGCTGAAACAGTAGTTTTTCCTTTCTAAATCTTTAAAAAAGGTAAAAAACTATCCAGAAGAAAAAAATACAACTTTACTATTGGCTTCAAAAGAACAACTTAAAATTCGACTCGAATTTTAAAAATAAATTCGAAATTACGATTCCACATTTTACTTTAAAAAATTTTTTGAGTTCAAAACTGAAATCGAGCTCCTGTAAATTCACTAATTCACTGGTAAATTCACCTTTGTCAATGTCAGTATATTATTAGTCTGGTTATCATTTCTGTTCAGCGGCACAGTTGTTGTTAGCGATGACGCACCCGGTTGTGGTGGTGGTTGCCTAAGATCCGATATCATTGCACTGGCTGGTCGCTTTCGACTACTGAGCACTGCCTGCGGTGATGGTGGTGATGGTGTGTAAGGTACAACTTCAGTGCTAGTTGGTACCGTTACTACTGGTGCCGGTGCACCACGTGGCATATATTGCTGGGTACTGGACATATCCACATCTAACGTCTGACGGAGAGCTTCTGGCAGGACACAATGATGATCACGAATCACAGCGATAAGTTCATTTTTCTGAAATATTTGTAGGAAATAAGAAAACTAAATCGAAACAATATTGAATTACCTATTGTTGTTGAATCTATCGCTGAATTTCTCTTTTTTTAAATCTGACAGAACGACTGGTTTTCATAATTCATAAAGATTAATGGGTAAAAAAATGACGGAATTAAATGATTAATTCATACTAGAACTTACCAATAGCTGCAATTCGGCAATTTTTGCATCTTTCATTTTATTTTCTTCCTTCAATTGGTTTACTTGCTAAAAACGAATGTTATAAAGGATAAAAAAAGTTCAAATCTTGTCATTAAAAATTTTAAATAACATTGTATTATTTAGCATCATCCAAGAGCCATTTAATTTAGATAAAACAGATTCCATGGGAGAGAAAGGAAGAAAAAAAAGAAAATGAGATGGAAGTATGAATTAAATTCCCACAAAAAAATTGCCGAAGCGAGAGGACGAATATACCAATCCATACTCGTCTAATGCGAAAAACTTTCACAGAATCCTCTTTTCTCCTATTCTTAAAAAAAAAATTTCTGGTTCATTGTATATGATCAGTGAACTACTACACAGAATGGTAGGACTTCTTTGAAGAAACTTGGATAAAGTCAAGTAACTCTCTCCTGTAAAGGCTACAGATCTAGCAGTTCAGATCACCAGCAGAATCTCCTGCAAAATTGAACGGAATGTTATTTTCATAGGACTATCATCTATTTCCAAAGACTGATTCTTGATCATACCGGGCACTATCAGGATTACCTGACGCACGAACAAAAATTAGAAAATCCAATTCTGGGTTGCTATTTCCGGGCTGAAACTTTGGGTTGCTACTTTTGCGGTATCTGTAGTTTATAAATTTTACATTCTGTAGTGAGCCCATAAGATCAAGGCGCCTTTGTCGACATCTTGCCGCCGCTTCCTTATTTCGCAAACGTCTTTTGTCACGCTTATCCCGTTCTTCCTCACTCAAAGTCACATGATCCTGTAATTAAAATTGTCGAATTGAAAGAGATGAAAAGGGAAATGAAAGGAAGATCAATTTTATCATAAAAAATCCAATTTCAAAATGGACCACCTTTATCGAAACAATAAAATGAGATGATAAAGAACTATTATTAACATATTCTTCGTATTCCTTTGGTCGCCGACCACCACGTTTACCGGTTGCCGATGCTGGTCTTGTCATCGTATTTCCAACAAAACCAGTTCGCGTTTGATACGCTTGTGGCATGTTAAGTTGATAATGGGAGCCTATAAAATGATCTTCCCAACAACACTTCGGAATTATCACTTTCATAATATTATCTATCCCACCGAAGCACTTTCAAGATATTGCTAAGTGAAAGTAAACAGGTACCAGCAGAACAACAACAACGAAGATCATATAGAACCTGAAAAGACTAAACCCATTGATCAATTATCATCATCGCCTTAATTACCAATCAAAGTACTCTTACTACCGTTAAATTAAAATTAGTTACAGCGTACACGACCGAAATCTTTCTGATACCATCTACAATTCAACTACCTCATGCAACGACTATCACCGGTAACTTCAACTCATAGTTGCTTTTTTCTTCGAATTTCGGTTAGGCAGGTCAAAAAAATGAGAATTTCGAAATGTATAAAGGAACACAGGAAAAGAAAAATCCAGATCTTCATGTTTTTTTTTCCTTTTTTTCCGGTACACTAAATGAATAATCATTCCCTTCCACTCTTCAGAACTAAATATAATATTCAGGTGGGTTTAATTTTGGCAAGTTCTATAAATAACGACCACTACAAACTCCTGGATATGTACAACTCGAGTAAAAACTCTGATTTAAAGGATATATGACGATAATGTAATCACAGTCCAATTAGACCCTAGAATAGTTTCATCGTTCCCTGGTTGACTTATCCCATAGCATATATCTTTCAGTAATAAATCATGTTAAAATTTGAGTATTTTGTTTGAAGCTGTTCATTTGAAACTTCATCTTTACAATGGGTAGTGTGGTGTAGCATGGTGGCTGAATGTTTGTCCCTACCATTGAAATTCAAGTACATTTCCATTGTAACAAATCATTATGCATGCTTAAATGAGTCTGCCAAAAGTAAATCTTCGTTACTGCTGAATAAAATTAGTAATATCCGCATTTAGAACCAATTTAAATCATCTTTGGAAAAGGTTAGGATAATTCTCCAGCAAAGCAGTATTTATAATGCAAAACAAACTCATATAAAAAGTGTCTGATTGTTATCAATGATTTCATCGTTCCCAAAAAATATTATAAATAAAGATAACGATGTGAGGGACAGACAAGGAAGCAAAAGGAAGTGAATGAAAAAAAAGCTAACAAAAAAAAAAAGTGGTGAAAAAAAGGGCAAAAACGTGCATTGAAAAAGTTCGAATACATATATATATGTATATATATATATATGTATATATATATTATATATATATATATATATATATATTATATATATATATATATATATATATATATATATATATATATACTACGAAG